GGGGGTGTTAGGGGTTTATATTGCTGAGGTTTATTTTTGTTGTTGATGTTGTTTTGTTTACTTTTGTTTTTGTTTTTCTTTGGGAAAAAGGGGGGGATAGGGGAGATGTTGAGTGATGGAGGGGTGCCACCGGTAGGTTCTGCTTCATTTCTTTTCCTCTGTTGTTTCTGTCTATTTTCTGTCTTATTCTTTCAGTGCTCTAAATGTCTGTTATTGCACTGCGCCAGGTAGTAGGCTGATCTACAGGACTTTTTGGGGTGTCTTGGATGTTTGTCAATCTTGTCAGATGGTCGTCGTCATCGATATGGCCGCAGATCACTCACAATTTTTAAACCTCTTGGGTGGTTGGCGACTTCGCTGATGTGGTTTGCTCCTTCTATCATATCAAGTATCTGTCATCCTTACAGTTATCCTTATCCTCCTTCTTATCTGGATATAAATTTACTCTTTAGTAACACATCTAATCTTCCACACTTTGATTATACATGCCGGTGTTGTAAGTACCGTGAAGGTCTTGCTAAAACTAAAATCTAAAACTTCTACGCATCATCTCAACCTCGCCCTATCTACACTTCCTGCCCCCCCCCCCTCCCACACACACACGCACACACTTTTTCCACCCCACCCCAGCCTGTTCTCGTCATATCCCCCCATCTCACGCCAAGGTCCGTGACAGACAATGTCATTTGCTCTCATCAGATGTTGTCCAGCCCACATTTTCAGCATGGCATACCAGCGATGTGCTTTTAATCTAGGCTGATGAAGCATATAAGGTTTCGCTGTGCACTTTTCTAGGCAAATAAAAGCACTCTGTGTCTATGCTCTTCATGGTCTTACCACCTGGCTGTTGCCATAACTGTCTATGCTATCTATTCTATTGTTATTGTTCTTGATACTGATGCTTTTGTCGGAGCATTGCTGTTCTGGTTGCTGATGTTTTTCTCTACATTATAATACTCATCTGTCACAATGCCATTGATGCTGTTGTTCTGAATTACACGTTGTCACTGTTATCTGTGTTGTTGTTGTTGTTGTTGTTGTTGTTGTTGTTGTTGTTGTTGTTGTTGTGTGGTTATCGTTGTTGTTATTCTCATGTTGCCTTTGAAGCTTTGCTGCGCTCGTCTGTAGGGATACGTCCCCCCTTACCTCTCCAGTTGAACACATCCTTCCATCGTGCCTGAATGCGCAAAATCGCGCTCTCATTTCCTCCGATTACTTGGCTCTACCCCC